AGAAAGACGAGTGGGGGAGGGTCCAGTCGGCATTTTACCAGGAAGGTACACTTGCCTTCCAGCCCTGAGCTGATAAGGTGAGAGGGCTTGTGGCCTGGAAAACCAGTCGGATATTAGACGAGTTGGGGAAGGTCCAGTCGGCATTTTACCGGGAAGGTACACTTTTATTTTTTTTTATAACTAGAAAGTATAATACTCAAATTGTGGACTATGTAGATAAAGAACACATTAAATTATTTATATAAATGACTTTAAAAATATTTTTTTATTAAAGAATACAAGGGTTACGTCATTCATGTTAATTATTCATGAAAATGTTTATATAATTTTTAGCTTATTATAAAGTTAATTTTATAGAAAATTTAAAAGAGACAAGAAGACCGTATGAATTGTTTTTTTCTTCTTGCAAGGGATTCTTAGGGGTATCTAAGCATGGAGTGGATTAGTTTGTATTTTAAATTTTCGAAAAAGATAGATCTCCGAAAAGTGTCCCAAAAATTATTCCGAACAAATAAAATATTAATTTAAATTATAAAATATTAAATTAAATAATTATTTTATAATAAAATTATTATAAAATATTAATATTTTATTATTTCAGAACGTGATTCGGAAATGGTTTTGGAGGATCAAGCATTGCTCTTAAATTTTTTATGCGGTGCCTTGTCCTTTCAGCATGTTGTGAGGCAGAGCAAGGAACACTCAAAATTCCATTACTTTCGAGGGATAATGATGTCACTTGTCAAGCATTTAAGGCTCGACAAAACAGTTTCCTATCCACGAAGCAAAATGCCTCCATCACAAAAGTTATTGCCAAAATATTCTATTTTAATTTATATATACTAGGATATTATTCTAGCTAGCTAGTTCATATCCACTTTAGCACCCTTTATTTAATTCAAATGGTAAACATACATCTTGATGTGAAATGTAGCATTAAAGCTATTTTTGAAATAGTTAAAATAGTGAATCCACTAAAACATAAGCAACTAGTTGTAAAGAATAGTCTTGCAATTGCATTGAGAACAAAATTTTACTACGTGTGTGTAAAATTAGAGCCTATTTATGTGAAAGAATTTGTCATTCATTGATACCTATATTTGGTGTAAATTTAAGGTGTGTATATGGAATTAAGGAAGAATATGAAATATTTCAATTGCAATTTTTTTTAAACCTTTTTAGCCTTCTTTTTAGAATAACAGTAGCGTTAGCTTTCAACAGCCAAATAAATTATTAGGTAAGAAAAAAAAAATGGATCGACAAAAGTCTCGTCAACCATAATAAGTAAAAGGGTCACATTATTCAAATATTTTTACAACACTGGAAAATTTTATATATATATAAAGAGAGTAGGATTCAACGACACCGGTGTAATTTTTATTAAGTATTACACTATTTAATAACTTTATATTAAATGTGAATTTTATAAATCCAACCGTTAGATTAATCTAAAAGTAAAGAATTTTTAATCTAACGGTTGAATTTATAAAATTCACATTTAATATAAAATTATTGAATGGTGTAATACTTAGTAAAAGTTACACCAGTATCATTTGAACACACATATATATATGAGGAGGGTTCAAACAATACCGGTGTAACTTTTACTATGTGTTATATGTGGGAATGTTAATATACTCCCACCTATTTTTTAGTAGGAGTATGCTAGCAACCTATACTAAAATTTTAAGATAAAAAAATCACTCATTTCTTTTGATTTGGTTAATTCGTACAAAGGATATTATAGTAATTTAATTTAATTTTAATGAAAATAAAATATTTTCTCTCTCTTATTAATTTTATTTTCCAATTCATTTATTTTTTTTATTAATTAATTTTTATTTGTTTAGAGAGAGAGGGAGAGAAACATCATGAGATATGAGAGAGAAATGAGTTAAAGAAAGAATTTAATAAGAGAGAGATAAATATATTAGAGAAAGAATTTAATAGAAAAGAGAAATGAGTTAGAGAAGGAATTTAATAGGAGAGAGAATAAGATTATCAATTAATTATACAACTATTTCGATTTGAAAATTGTATATACACAATCAAAGTTAATTTAAAAAAAAAAACAAGTTTATTTAAAAATTGAATAACAGTAAGATTGTTTTACTTTAAAATGAAAGAATACTGATAAAGATGATGCCATAATTAATTGAGCATAAATGAATAAGTTCAAATGTGTGGTAAAGAAATGAAGAAGACAAATCTGGAAGAAAAACTTTGCTGGCAACTGACATGGTTGGTGAGTGAATAAAAAAGAATTATAGATATGAGTGTGGAATAAGGTTATAATTTTAAAGAAATAATAAAATTCATCTTATTATTTGGGTTTTCTTTATTGCTGTGTCAGTTCCCTTAATAGTGAAAAACTTCATGTGAAATCGAAAGTGAAATGTTAATGGACCATGGTTTACTTCTGAACTAACCGACGCAAATTGGGCCTTAAATGCAACAACACTTCTACATCGCTTAAGGCCTCAAAAGTTTTTGGCAGAAAACAAAAAAGGCTTCGCTTAATCGACCTAAAAAGCATATGAGTATTTGAAGAAAATTGCCTTAATAAGATTTGTTATAACTTTAACCTATATAAAAGAAAATACGAAATTTGAAGAACAATATTTTCCATCGTTTTTTTTTTCTATTCTTAAAAAAATATCTCTTAATAAGAAATATAATTTCCTCTTAACTTTATTTCATTTTTATTCTTATATATTAAAATTTTTTGCTTGAAACAAAAATTAAATATATTTGAACTCATTTACCTTTATTTTCATTTTTTAATTAAAAATATGTCACCTTATTTTCAACTTGTTTTTGGTTTTCAAATATTTAACAGAAAATACCAAAAACAACTTTTTTGTTTCCAAACTTTTCTCATTAACTCTTTAATTTTATACTTTTTTCTTATATGAGTCAAGAAGGAGTATAATTTTAATATATATTTTTACCAATAGATTATTTTGGTTTTCTTCAATTATTTTGTTATATATTTACATGGCTTAAATATGATATTAGTATTTATTAAAGGAGTGAATTTTGATTCCTTAAAAAAATCTTTGATTTTCATCCTTCCATAATTTGAAATAACTAGTTTTGATTTCTAACATTCATTTTAAGGTAAATAAGTAATATTTATTTTATAATTTAGAAGAAAAAATTAAAGGTGGAACATCCTAATATACCCTTTTATGAATGCATAAAAAGACTAAAATAGATAACAAGGTTTTTATTCATACCACATTTTGCATTTAAATACAGAAAAATATATATAAGAGATAATATTTTTAGTTTATTTTTAAAAATAATATAGAAAATTATAACATAATAATATTCTGTTAAAAAAAAATTGGGCCCTCTATACTATGGGCCTAGGTGATTGCTCTTTCAAATAAGACCTATTCTGCAACCAACTTGATAACGAATAATTGAACTCAGTTTCCACACACAGCCACTGCCATGTTAAAATCTTTATGATTCCACCAAATCATCTCACTCCTTACACTCTCCTTGAAAAAATAATATAAAGAGTAAACTAAGAAAATTAATATTACAAAGAAATAAAATATATCCCATTAGAGTAGACGTTGAATTTAGGCAATTGCGTAGCTTAACATTTTTTAATTCATAAACTTGTCAATATATTCAACTATTTCATAGATAGAAAGGTATCTATGAATCAAAAAAAAAAAAACGGTGAGTGAGAGAAGAAAGGTATCTTCAAAAGGTGAGAGTTAAAATTATTTTTCAAAAACATAATAGTACCGCTTAAAAAATTATTAATATTACCTCTATCTATGAGCAATAACAATTAATTTTTAAAGTTAATTTTCTTTTATACCTTTAATTAATTTTTAATTTTATTTCATATACGTTAACTTATAATTAACATTAAATACAAATCAACAACTAATTTACTATTTATTTCAACTTGATTTATCTTATATTACTTATATGCAAAATTAGTAACATTTAATGAATGTGTGGTGTTTAGGCATACATCTTCATTGTACTAGTTTTAAAAACTAGGTACTATTTTGTATGTAGGAATTGAAAGGTTAAAAATTCATACATCTATGTACTATTTTGTTCTAGGATAAAATTTAGTTTGCAAACATTAACAAATGACGTTAAACAACAAACCATTTTGTTTGGTTAACTTTTGGGCTGAAAACATCAACTTTATAATTATAAATTTTGATTTGAAAAGTAAAAGATTTTTTAAAAAAAATTTAATTTTATATACACGACTTATAGTTTTTTTTAAATATATTTATATTTAAATTTTAAATTTATTCAATTTTATCATTTAAACAAAATTAATTCTTCTAAATCATCACTCTCAAACATAAATAACTACTAGGATTAGCCTAGTGGTTAGGTTGGGAGGAATTGGGGTAGTTAGAAGCATGAGGACCTATGTTCAATTCTCATTGCAAATCTTTCCTATTTCTAAAAAAAAAAAAAAAAACAAATGATTTTTTTTACCATATCAATAATTCCAAATTACGTTCACCAAAATATAAGGCAAACTAACCAATAAGAATTGTAACCTCCAAAACCTATTCAGTTTTCTAATAAATTTCGAGATCTGAAACCTTCGTCTACGTCAATAGTTTTTCAATAATGAATTAAATTCAATAGAATCCTGTGATGGCCTTCACCCACAAAAGTGATATATGGAAGCATCAATGCAGTCATCTAAGGCAATTTTGGCAACATCACACTATATAGAAAGAAAGAAAGAAGAAATTTCAACCATGAACTAAAATTCAAAATTGGTCAACAAATTAATGCGATACCAATCACCCCATCCACAAATTAATAATATACTTAAAAAAGTATTCGAAAGGTACCAACAACTATTGACACCACATATGAGAGTTCCCTTGGATTCCATATACGTTTGCAGTTGTACACAGAGTAAAAGACACTTAATTGATGCAAAAGAAGAATAATCTTTATCTAAAACAAAAAGAATGTAACGTGACAGCGAAAGATAATGGTAAAAACATGATTATATGTGAAAAAGATAGAAACAAATAGACGTTATGTTTTCTTTTGGACAAATCCTATCGTGAAAAAAAAAAAATCAATCAACACAAGCTAGCCTATTGAGCTATCCAAGCTCAATTTGTCATCCTATTTGACCAGCCAATCAAGGGTACAAAAGTTATAAAATGATCTTTTGAACCCATCTACAATGTATATATATATAAACAAAGGACTATGTCATTGGATGCTCCCATCACCCAAGACATGATAACCTTTGGTTGAAATTGAATTACTCTAAAAGGTAGAATCCAAAGCTCAAATAGTTAGGATTCTACCCCAATGCTGAATACATGAATGAATATGATCTTCCCCTACTTCAACAACCTACTTGATTAACAAAAAAAAATAATATATAAACCCTATTTTCCTAAAACAAACATGTATGATGATGATGACTTTTGAGTTTTGTCATGATGAAAAATGAGAATTGGGTTAAGGTAAGCTTTATCTAACATATCTCATATATTTTGAACTCAGCTTTCGATGTGTTAGCCTTGCAAGTTCTTTATGCTTTGAAGCTGCTCAAGAGGGTTGTGAACTACCAACAACTGTTGCTGTTGTTGCCACACTTGTTGATGATGTTGGTGCAGTTATGGTTGTGGTTGTGGTTGCAATTCCTGTTACTGAAAGTGCCACATTCTAATCATCAATACCAAATTTAAAACAAGAAATAATAACCTCTTGCATTAGACTTATCACCTGCACTAGTAGTTGGCACTGCCATTGAAGAGGGATATGACAATATCCCAGTGGAGCCATAATGCTGAGGCAAAAGTGGAAACTGTGCCATTTGGGGGTATTGAACCCCAAAACCATGACCCTGAATGCTCTGTGCATATTGGCCATAAAAGGGGTAGATATTATGGATCAACCCTACTGCCCCAGAACCTCCACTAGATGGGTAGTAAGCAGAAAATTGCTGAACTCCATACACATTATAATAGCTCTGCAATAGTTTACACACAGGATGGTACCATAATAATGCAAGAAAATAAAGTAGTTGCTTGTAAAAACTTTATTACATTAAACACTTACCGTAGGATACAAGGTGTCTTGTGAATATCCAGAATATCTGTCAGTATAGATAGAATGGACATAAGAGAAAAGCACACAAAATGGAAAAATAAAATTAACATAAAAATGATCATATCCTCATAACACTTTAAGTTACCCGTAAGCTGAATAAGGAAATGTGTGTTGCCTAGGGGGTTGATGGAAAAATGTAGATGAAGAACCATGATAAGCAGGTGATGCCACTAGTCCAGGTGGAGGCCTGAACCGTCCTGCACCTACAATTTGAGTTTGCATTTAAATCCCTTTTTCTCTCACTACACAATTAGTTTTGTTTTGCATTTACTAAATAATCAACCAGTACCACTAAAGGTGGTAGCTTCTTGCCTAGGATGAGTTAAATCTAACTAAATCATAACACAAGTCCAAGATCATGCAAGTAAAAGAACACCTGATAATATCTTAGTTTATTAAAATAAAAATAAAAAGGATAAAGGAGAATGTAAGGGATGAGACCATGGTGAAAAGTTGGTGGTCGGTTCTTGTTTGCACCAAGAGAAGCAAGATTGCAGTTTGCCCTCCTACCATCAATAACTGGAGATGGATTCTGACATGCTCTCATGGCTGCCTCAGGATCCTTAAATGTGACCTTGGAAAACAACAAAACATGGACTCGTTATTCAAGATCATGCAAGTACAACGACAAATGGAATAAAGAAGCAAATATAAACCATACCAAGATGGACTTACAAAGCCATAACCCTTGGATCTCCCAGTGTTCTTATCTGTGATGACAACAGCCTCTAAGATCTCTCCAAACTGCTCAAAATACCTCGTCATTGTGTCCCTCTGAGTCTCCCAAGCTAGCCCTCCAACAAAGATTTTGGTAAACGTTGTGTCATTATATCGGTCCATCTGAGACTGTCTTTGTTGAGACATTTAAGAAAATATCAACCAAAGTATCTATCTCCCAACAGAAGCGAGCAAAGCAACCCCAAAAATCCCAAATGCAAAACTAAAAAACAAAACACAAAATCCAAAGACAATATGAGAGAGTGAAGGGGGGAAAAGGAAACGGTTAATAATAAAGGCTGGAAAAGAAGCTGTTTGCTCTTCTAAAAACCCATCAATGAAAACACTCGTGCACTCATGATTCTGTTCATGCTAGTCCTTCTTACTTTAAGGAATGGTTTTGTTTGTTTTTTTTTTCCTTCTATCTAAGGCTATAATTGCTACTTTTCTACATTCACAACAACAACAAACTCCTAAGATTCCACAACACTTCACAACAGAAAGAACATGATTACTTCGAAGGAGTGAAACTAAAAAGAAACCCTCTTACAAGAAAACATTTATATGCCAAGAAACTTGTTGGGGGGGGGGGGGGGGGGGGGGGGGGGGGGGGGGGGGGA